TGGGCAAATCTTGGTGGAACAAGGATTTTTTCAAGCAGTGTCTCCGCAGAGCACATTAGCAAATGAGGCTACGGAGTATACAATAGGCAGACGAGTGGTTGGCACAAGAGATTGGCACAAGCTGGGCAGGTGGGGTTTCTCTGCTGAGTGGAAGCAAGAATGGCAGGAGGAAGAGGAGGAGCCCATTGAGGTGAGCAGTCCCAACTGCGCACTGGTGCCCAGCTGATTCTCGCCCTCCTGATGCAGTCGGTATAGAGCTTGGCTTCCTAGCACCTCCAGGTGGTTTGGATAATGACTCTTACAAACCCTGCTATTAACCATGCTGTTTGTGGCTGACAGGTGTTGGTACCCAAATTTTGTTTTGAGGGACCATTTGCTGACTTCTGCACTTTAAGGTTCCGTGGAACTCCAGGTGGCCACTCAGTAACAGGTACCAGAATACCTTCAAGTAAGCATCCTTCTGGTACTAGGGCCGTGAAACATTTGAGGCTTTTATTCCCTTTGAGATCAGCAATGGAGCACCTCTTTAAATAGATTGTTTGGTACTTACTCTAAAGACAATGGCCTTTTCCAGTACAATTCCACATGGATCACCCATGGATCAAAGTATTTAGTTATTTATTAAGTTTTCTATCCCACACCCTACAGAACATCTTGAGATGGCTTTGTTGTTGTTAGTCACGAAGTCATGTTCAACCCATCGCAACCCCTTGGACAACACTCCTCCAGGCCTTCCTGTCCTCCACCATCCCCCGGAGTCCCCATAAAAAAACCCCCTAAAACCCCATTTAAACATTAAAATAAAAGCTTTCAAATGAAGCTGAAGGAAAGCCCTCCTCACCACCTCTGTCACCTGGGACTCCAGAGACAGCTCTGGGCCGAGGAGCACTCCCAAACTGCAAACCATATCCTTTAGGGGGAGTGGAACCCACTCCTGGACAGGGCTAAAAGCACTTGCCTGGAAGGCTGAACTGCCAACCAACAGGACCTCCCTCTTATCAGGATGAAGTCTCAATGTATTGGCCCTCATCCAGCCCATTACCTCGGCCAGGCACTGGTTGAGTACAGCTCCTACCTCACCCGGACTAGAGGCAAGAGAGAGGTAGAGCTGGGTGTCATCAGCGTTCTGATGGCACCATAGCCCAAACCTCCAGCTGACCTCTCCCAGCTGTTTCATGCAGATGTTAAAAAGCTTGGGGGACAAAATGGAACCCTGTGGAATTCCATGGCAGCAGCTGGAAAGTAGACAGCTGCAACCTGCTTATCCACGAGTGATGCACTCATCCCGCAGGGTTCAGTTCTTTCTCTCTCCCTCCTTGTGCTGCATAGGCCTGGCATGCTGGTCTCCAAAGGAGGCATCATGGCAGGAATCAGAAATTCCGGTATTTCAATTTCCATCTTACCAAGTTTTAAGTGTTCGGTGTTTCCTGTCTAAAATGGAAAAGTGTGTCTACTCAGTGTGGAAACTGCTCCTGCTCCATCAGGAGATGACTGTGCTTCATATAGTCTTTTAATAATTCAAGGGCTCCCCTAACCGTCCATCCACCCCTTTTTAAGAGCACAAACTACTTACCAAATGTAACTGGAACCAGTACTTTTGTTCATGGGGATGAAGTAATTATGCAGCATTGCTGTGATGGACAGATTATACAGGAATGCTTCAATATCTAAACAAAATTGAAATCAAAGAACAAGGAAATTATTTCAGCCATTACCTATATCTCTAACTAACCACCACTTTGGAACTAATCTCAGTTATCTATGGCTGGAGTTTGGATGAATTTATTTATTTATTTATTTATTAAGAGGTTTTGTATGCCGTTCCCTTGCTTAACACCTTGGGACGGCTTACATAAATAAACAAACATAGTACCAAAGATGCACATTAAGTTAATCTAGACCATGGACAAAGACATCATCAGAACAATCAATAAATACCTGTGCTTGAGTTCAGAAGAGTTTCTGCAGCTTCAAGTACCATCATTTGCAAAGTCTCTTAAAATCCGCTTGTGCAGGGAGATTCTCCTAGAAAAGGCCATGACTTTGTTTTTATCAATATTAGTTGCTATAGCATTTCATTACAATAAGTAATACATGCTCTCAGTATTTGTTTTAGCCCAACTTTGGTGAATAGAAGAACATCACTGTATGCATATAAATTAAAAGCGGACAGTTTTGGGGCATGGAAGTACATGAAGAAAAAATATTAGATAGGACATTAAGGTACAGATTAAATAGCAGGGCTCCAACTCTGACATCCCTGGGGACAGGAATAGAGTTAGTCAGGGTTCCCCTCACTTCACATCACACCTGTACATTAGGGCGCTGATATAAATGCATAATTAAATAAAGCAATCTTCTATCAGTGGAAGATGAATAATGTTTGGCCCATAGCTTTGGAACGGAATCAAAGGCAGTTTTTAAAAGCAATGTACAGTACTCCACTGGGAGATTTTGTGACCTCCCTTTTCTAAAGCCAGGCAGCTCATTTTTTAACACATTTTCTTCTTCAGTCCAAGTAACAAGTTTGTTATTAAGGTAAAGAGCATGCAGGTAACATGCCTTTGAAAGAAGGCTAATAGGAGGGTGGGCGGAAGGATTGTTTCTAGCTCCTTCCGTATGAATAGGGATTATAGCAGCCCGAGACCAGTCACTGGAAAATTGAGCAGTCTTATCAACTTGTGTAAATAGGGCTGCTAATACAGGCATTTGCCATGTTTTGTTAACTCTCAATAGTCCACAACTGAATCTAGTCCTGAAGACTTCCTGCATTTTATACAGGGAATCAATATATTTCTGAACGAGTAACAGGGGCCCAGTCTGGATGATCAGAAAAATCCAGGGGAAAAGGAAAGGAAACCATTGAGTCATGATTACTGGGCTCCCTGAAGAATGCAGAAAAAAATATTTGCCAGCCCCGGGCAGCAATTGTACATTCTGTTGAGTCCATGAGATTGTGAATTGCATCTGTAACTAATGGCCAGAAAGGTTTAGTATCCTTTTCCAAAGAATACTTTATTAGACTATTCCACTTCCTTTACATAACTCCCCTAAATAATTCTGCCTTGTAGATGTCGGACAGAGATGAGCATTTCCTGCTGGTCTGTGAATGAGTAACTGCTATCTTGCTCGCCAGGACCATCTTGTGGCTTTGCTCTTGCTCCTGATCCCCCATCTCTTCATCTGCTGAGATGGCGAAGGAGGGGAGGGGCAGCTCAAGAGGAACCAGCTGGGAACTGGGAGAAGCCAGGACCAGGTGGGTACATGGTAAATTCTCCAAGTAGGTGGAGTGTTGTGGTGATGAGAATTTGGACTGGAAGCAGGGAGAGCTGGGTTCTAGTATCCACTGGGCCAAAAGTTCACTGGCTGACTTTGGGTCAGTTGCTCACCCTCAGCCTCACCTCCCACACAGGTGTGTTGCTGTGATGATAAAATAGAGTACAGGTAGACTGGGAAGTCACCTTGGGTTCTCGCAAGAAGAAAAAACATAGATGGGCTATAAATGCCATGCAATGATAAGATGATGACGAATGGCAGGAATGGAATTGTCCTTGGGTTTCCTGGTGCCTTGAACAATAAGAACAACCCTTTTACCACCTCCATCCTCAATAGGAAAAGGGTGGGAGATAAATGCCATGAAATGATAATAGCAGTCACAAGACGTTCTGAAGGGGATGGGATAGGAAAGCTTTTAATTAATTAATTAATTAATTAATAGTGATAAAAGGGAGAAATACAACCGTAAAACATGCATTAATTAGGCAACATGGGGTTGCTCTCACAGCCAACTTCTTGATATCTAGCTGGAATCTGGCTTCACATTCCATGTTCTGCACTCTGATGATCAAGAGTCTGTCCTTTCTGCAGCCTTTCAAGTACTTGTACTGTTTTAGCTTATCAGTACCATCCATCTTCTCTTCTCTAGACTAAACATGCCCAGTTCCTTCAATCTCTCTTCTGCCCTCCTCTGAACCCTTTCCAGCTTATCTTAATTGGTGGTGCCCAGACCTGTACTCAGCACTCCAGATGGGGGCTAACCAGCACCACTTAGAGATTTAGGCCATTTCAGGCTGAAATGTTTGCACAGGAAGAGTGGAGAGGCAGAATATCCCACACTGGGATGGAAACTGATCCTTTCGTTGATGATTTTCCTGTGGATCCTGTGCACCTGGAAGAGAAAGGTAAACCCAATGGAAGAATGACAGAGAACTCACCTTCTCTGACTTTGCCTTCGCTCAACTGCTCTCCAACCCTCCTGTGAGGAGAAGATTTTCTTCTTCTTCTGACTGATAATATAATCCTCAGTGGGTTGAAGTGTGGTGAGAGTAGATTCTGTCTTCGCACTCGTACAAAATGCTGTTCTGTAAATGATATGGAACAGGAAACCAAGTGGTAAGTGCTTCTTCGTTTTGGGTAAATGTAACTTCTCTAGTCACAGTACATATTCAGTCAGCACTTATTACTTACCTAAGGTAGTAAATTAGGAAGCACAGGAGTGACCAAAGTGTTTAACTGGCACGACCACACTACCATCTGGCCATTTACAACTTTGGGAATAGCTGAAATGCAGCTGAAAAGCTCAGACAGAAGTCCTTGCCTCCAAGTGCTGGGTATTCTTATTGGATACAATCGTTGCTGCTGTCACTTCTCATGTCTCACTTTTGGAAGATTGAAAGAACATAGATATAGAAGGCACCAGTGCAGTGTTTCACTTAAAGGGGCTCTTTGACTGAACCAGTGGTAAAACATGCAGCTATACAACAGGCAGCGGTCCCCCTAATGGACCGCCTTACTGGTGAATTGCAGTATCTGTTTCATTTTTGGAACAGCTGTAAAAGAGCTCTCTAGAACTCACTCCTGCTCTCAGGGATTGATTGTATTCAAAAGGGAATCTTGGTGGGGGGCACAGTGTGGACAGTGGAAGGAAGGCTGTGGTGAAGTCCTCGGAGGCACCCGGCCCCTCGTTGAAAGCATGCCTTTTTCTTCAGAGTGACTTCCCACCATGTTCTGCAATTGGCCTCTGCTGGGAATGAGAAGGACAGTTGCTCTTGGCCTGCATTTCCAAGGTTCGCTGAAGTGGATTAAGAGGAGGAGAAGCAAGAGGGGGCCTTTGACTATGGGCCCATCCCAGACCTTGAGATCAGAGAAGCGGAGGTGCTTATCTCAAGGCCTGACTCACCAGATGCTCAGGCGGCCTCTGCGAATAGTCAAGGCACATGGCTCTCAGGAGGGGGCTTGGAACAGGAGAGCTTCTCAGAGTCAGATAAGGCAGGCGCTGTGGGGAGCAAGAAAGGCAGCTTCTTGGGTCTTCGCAAGGGTGCCTGGCCAGACTTCGGAGGAGGCGCAGGAGCCGGAGCAGGCCTCCGAATGTGGGCCAGTATAGAAGAAGAAGAAGGTCTCTCCATCTTGGTGTCCAAGTGGTCAGGACTCACAGCTCTGAGTGGTGACTCATGACAATTCTCTTCCTTGCTGAGCCCCAGCAAATATGCATTTCAGACCT